TTAGCCCCCCCGGCTATAAATTGATTTCAATTGAAACCGTCACTTATCCTTTAGATTTAAAAGGATAATCAATTGTCAATTGAAAGTAAGTTGATGTCCACTGAAATCCTTGCTTATCCGTTTGTAATCCTTATATACTCTTCCTGTAGAATTAAAAGGAAAGTCAATTGAAAATAACTTGATTTGAATTGAAATCCTGTGGGAAAATCAATTGAATGTAAATCAATGTCAATTGAAATTCTTACTGAAAATCTCATGAATCACATTTTTGCTTTTGCTGGTCATTGTTTCGGAGTGATAACCTTCTCAAGGATCTAGACTTTCTGGGGAGGGTTGACATGGGTTGACCACTGCCACTGAGGTTTACCTATTCAGGCCTTCTCTTAGAGCGTTACCATCCCGAGCTCAAGAGCCGCATGTGTGATTTGCCCTGGCTGTGCGAGCCGGGCACCATGCTATCCTTTGGGCCAAGTAAGCCAAGGAAAGCATGAGGGGATTTGCTGGGTCGAGTTGGCGGATTGTCCCAATGGAAAATCCACTACTTATAGATCTTATAATACCATCGATTTTTTTTTTCGATACCCCCGTAAACGCAAATCCAGGATACGGTTGACGCCGCACCCCCAACAGCTTGGTTTGACGCGTGCGTTGAGCTGCAATGAAGGGCCAAGGAGCAAACCTCTGGGTTTCAACAGATTCTGACTGTTCGATCTAATATATAGAAGTCTGTTGATGATGATCCCAACTGACTTTTGGACATGGGTTGCATCCGCCATCCAGCGGATGTTGAAAGGGGTTGCCCGGATGTTGTGGCTTGAAGGAATGCACATGAAGGCAATGTCGCATGTTGACCAAGCAGCAGTTGTACATAATCATCAGTTAACGGAGCTTTGATATCACGACACCGCAAGTCGCAAAAGAGTAGGCCAAGATCAGATTATGTTGGCAAACATGCAGATGGACAACAACAAAGTTACCAGGGTTCTCAGGATCTTCATTGAATGCCAAGTTAGTGCGCCATTATGCGCCATTTGTTTTTGGTACGACTTTCCTTGGAAAACTGTCTTCAAGAGGTACAGAGTTTCAGGATGTTTCAGGATCAGCTGGGGCTATTAGCCATTATTAACCATCATTAATAACCATTATTAACCATTATTAGCTGGGGCTGAGAACACACTGACCTGCACGCAGGTCAGCCTTCCCGCGGAGCGATCAACATTGTGGAGGCCTCCAAGCCCTTCAAGCCACGGCGCACCGAAGAAATCAACACAACTAACCCCCGGGAAACAAACATTGCTATGGAATGCGATGGAAAAGTACCCATGTTGAAAGGTAAATCATGTAAATCATATTATATCATGGTATATCATCGAACTAAATGCGCTATTTTGCTTAGCTATGAGCTAGCGTTTACCTGCAGGGTAACCAACTCCTGGCTTTTCAAAGGAGTTTTTTTTTGGGGGGGGACCTTAGCAGCCTGGCAGTTTTGCCAGTTTTTCATCCATGTCGTCGCCAGGGCATTTGGCAAGAGGGACAACTCCGTGGGTCTGAAGTGGGAGAGTCCGGAGACTTAAGGCGTAAAGATGTGGGTGTATCTCGAAGACGCCTCTATAATCCTCTATTTATTTAAGTGTAAATTGCCTGGCTATTCATTCGTTTCCAAGGTTTCATGAAAATTGCATCCTGTGAAGTGGATTCCTCATGATTTCTGATGTTTGCATGTTTGCGAGCTTTCCGAATGGCTGGGGCATGAAAGTAACCATGCAGTGGGCGACCAAGGCGCGGCAGCGAAGATGAGGAGGAGGAACGTGCTCTGACGGAAGCTTCAAACGGGGTTTCCGTTTTCGGGGTCCCCGCTGAAAAGAAGGGTTTGTTTAGGGTTTACATATATTATAATATATATATATATACACATAAACATCTAATTTATATAATGAGAGCAATCTGAGGGAAGGGAATTTCGAATGATTTTAGATTTATTTCCCATGATGACCCCCCACGGATCCATGGCATTGACAGGTCCTTTATACTCAGCACCCTTTTTGAGAGGATTCCCGCGGATTTTCCATTGACACTAGAGGCCAATGAACACGAGATATCACAATCCAGAAGTGTATGAAGGTGTTTTTTGCCGGAAAAGCATGATATTCATCATGGTTGTTCATTTACCTCATATAGTCCATGTAATTGTGGGACGTTATATGCCTACATTTGGGTCATGGTTGGGGCAAGTGCTGGTACCTACTAGTAAACATACCAGAACCACGGAGCATGTTGTGGGTATGGGTTTTTATGACTGATGATTTTGTTTATTATCGCCATTAGTAATTCATAGTTATCGCCATCATAAATTTTGGGCAGTCAGTATATGTATATGTTTTTTTTATATATTATATAATGTATATATATATATATATATATATATATATGAATGGCAACCATTTAAATGCTAGATAATTCTCATGGAAACAAATCAACCTTCCTTGCAACTCCAGAGGCC